TCCTACATCTGTTCATCCATCCATCCATCCTTCCATCCATCCTACATCTTTTCATCCATCCATCATACATCTGTTCATCCATCCATCCATCCTTCCATCCATCCATCATACATCTGTTCATCCATCCATCCTCAGGTCTGAGGGGCAGCAGGTGGATCAGGGAGGTCYAGACCTCTGTCTCCTCTTCCAGTTCTTCTGGAGGACTCAGTCTCTCTAGAATGTCCTGGGGGTCCTCAGGGTTTCCTCCCAGTTGGACATGTCCAGACTCTGAGTGTCTCCTGGAGAACTGAACAGAGTCCAGCTACCCTGCAGAGGAAACTCATCTGGACCTCCTTGATCTGAGATCTGGTTCTGAGTTCAGACCACAGGAGGGAGCAGGAACGTGAAGACACCAGAGAACAAACGGGGGATTTCAACCGTTTTTCACCTTTTTTACAACTTTATGAAACAATCAGTTAAAGGCTCAGGARGTCTGTTTCTCTCACAAACACAAAGACTAACAGAACTCTGTGCTGCTGCTGTCAGCGTCATGTGAAGGATCAAAGATGGAGACTCACATAAAACCGTGCGTGAGAAACGTCTGAGGGCAGAGCCACGTTATACGATCCCACCGCTTTATACAGACACCGGCTGTGTCGTACCAAGACCCCCTGAGGCCAGATGGTGCTCTCTGACCACCTGCAACACATCCACAACATCACACAGGCTTACAAAACATTTAGTTTTTTAATATAGTTTATCTTTTGACAATTGATTTATTACAAACATCAACTACTGAATCCAAAAATAATCCCTTTCTATCAACCAGGTCATGTTTTTATGCCAAGTTCAYCTTAGTAATATTTCTCATCTGAATTAGATTTTTAGGATTTAAATTGTTTTCTAACACAGTTTATTGATGAAATGTTACAAACATCAGTTACTGTAAATGTAGCGGTCCACATTAATTAATTAATTAATTAATTAATTAATTAATTAATTAATGCTATGGACGTGGAAAGTGCATGTT